GCGAGATTCGTGTTGCCCGGGACTGTAGACATGTTCTCTGGCCCCCGGCCCAAGAAAGGGACCAGCTTGCCAGGGACAAGGGATAATGGGTGCCATTGTCCCACAGAGCTCCCACCAAGGCCAAACTCAGCTTGCTCCTTTCTCATCTCGCTTCCTGTGGCGTATCCAGTGCTGACATGCACCTGGTTCCCTCCATCGCGGCTGTCCTAACGGTTAAAGCACAAAACTACTCCCACAGGCGGCGGTAAGCTGCTGCTGCCTCCAGCAGCTCCCGCCTCCCCCTCCCCCTCAAGTGAGAGCCCCACTTCTCCCCCCGTCCGCACCCCCTCAGCCTTGGAGAGAGCTGGTGTGATGAGGGTGGGAGAGGCTTAGAGAGAAGCCCTTAATATTTCATTGTCATCTCATGGGATAGGGGCAGCGAGCGTCAGCTCCTTTGGGCCAACTTCCCGATAGTCAGAGCTGCGTGTGCGGATTAACTTAAACTAGTTCACAGCTTTTGCTTAATCAGTGCAAATAAACGCAATTTAAAGTAGTGCTTTTCACGTGCAGGCTTTTGGCCTCCAGCGGGGGCTCTCCCCGGAGCAGCCAGCAGGGCTGCATGCCCTCTGTCACACACCGGCTGTGGGGCCAGGGCCTTCGGAAAGAGGAGGACAAAACCCCGAGTAGCCTTTTCCCTCCTGCAAAATTCTACAAGCTGAAGGCAGCGTGGCTGCTCTCTCACCCCAACCTTCTCTGTTTTTGAGGAAAGCGAGGTGCAGAGACAGAGGCGGTTACCCAAGGCCGCAGTGCCGCCAGGCCAGCCTGGGCCAGAACTCGGGGCCCCTCCGTGCGGCCCTCCCCTCTCTGCCATGGCTGCATCGGGCGCATAAAAGCAATTTATTTTAGGAAGCAAATACAGAGCTTTTTGGTGTTGATCCACTAGATGCCCAGACAAGCCTGAAGAAGCAAAGGGGGCCGCAGAGAAACGGCCCCAAGTCTCTGGGCGACCCCGGGCCAGCCACCAAGAGGGCTGTGGGGAGGACTACACATCAGAGTGAGCCGAGAGAAAGTCAGGGTTCCTGCGCAACGCAGAGAAAACTGGTTTTAGCCACCACAGGGTGGTTACTGCTAGTGAGCTTCAGCTATTTTAATCAGTTGATGTATTAAAAATATACATCTGTGCCCAGCTAATGTGGCTCAGTGGTTGAGCATGGACTCACGAAGCAGGAGGTCAGGATTTGATTCCTGGGCAGGGCACATCTCCAGGTTGCTGGCTCCATCCCCAAGTAGGGGGCGTGCAGGAGGCAGCCCATCAACTAATCTCTCATTGATGTTTTTCTCTTTCCCTCTTCCTTTCTCTCTGAAGTCAATAAAAACATATTGTGTGTGTGTGTGTGTGTGTGTGTGTGTGTGTGTGTGTGAATATATATATATATATGAATGATGTGGGCTTTACTGATTAGTGTGAGTATAACTGGGGAGGAGAGGCTGTTTTAGCCCCCGGTACCTCCACAGAGATGAGGTTCTCAGCTGGGATGACTCCACCCCGGGGACGTGTGAACGTTTGGCCGTGTCTGGAGACGTTGCTGGTTGTCAGGAATGGAGGGGGATGGAGGAAGGGTACCAGCATCCGGTGGGTAGAAGCCGGCGATGCTGCTAAACATCCCACAATGCACAGGACGGCCTCCCCGCAACAAAGAACCATCCGCCCAGACTGTGAGCCGTGCTGAGGCGGAGATGCCGGGATGAAGGGAAGCCATGGATGCTTTCAGGAGAACCCGCTGGCGAGCCGTGCGGCCGGCACGTCCCTGCAGTGGCATTCTCCGTGGCGCCGAGGGGCAGGCCCCGGCCTTTGTTCTCCGGGCTGCACGGCCATCACGACAGCAAGGGAACCGCTGATGGCGGGCCGGATGGCTCCGACGCGGAGGGGCTGGCTGGCCTTTGATTTGTCCCTCAGGACTCCAAAGGGACGCTTCTCTTTCATTATCGGTGGCAATTTTCTGCACAGATGATTACACCAGTGGAGTTGCCTCATAGAAAAGACACGTTCCTGAAAAGTTGCGTTTGTTAAGTCATATTTTAAGTACAGCCAGGGCATTCAGTAAATAGTGACTTTTTAAAGTGAAAGGTCCTTTTAAATCAAGTCCTATTCTCCAAGAGGAGCAGCCCTATGGATTGCATTTTTAATGCAAATACTGTATTTTTCTTGTGCATTACGTTTTTATCTCAGGGCTCCGTAAAAATGATAGAAGAGAATAGTTTTTCTTCCTCCTTCCTTTCCCTGCCCCTACTCTTTCCCTTTAAAGGAAAAATCAGGGAAAATTAACAATAGAGTCTCTGAATTTAGGAAGGTCATTGATCAGTCTAGCCATTATACGGTTCAAAAGACGCCTGCTGGGTTACAAATTGTTAGAAAATAGGACTTGGCTCCATTTTGAAATCATTAATTTTTTTATCTCACTTTTTTTTTCCAGTTACTGACCTTTGGCTAGAAAGAGCAGGTGCACCCGTCCCTCCAGCACCCGTGGGTGTTTGCTGCACCACAAACATTTGATAAGACTCAACCTGGACCACGGGGTGGGGCGGGGCAGGTGGGGGGGACTGGTGTCAGCAGAGATAAGGGGTGGCACTGAAGGAACCCAGCGGTTCCCTCCTTATCAATCACTGCCCTGGGGCAACATCCCTCTGAGTAGAAATCGCTGACTGACCCGTAGGGCAAGGGGCAGGAAGGAGGAAATTTATTTGATAAAGCCACCATTAGTGTCACTTCCCTGATAGGGGTTCCACCGAGGTCTGACCCAGTGGGGACAGAGCCACTGCCACTGGGAGGAGAGAGGCTCCAGGCAGACCTGGGACAACACCCCAATACACACACACACACACACACACACACACTCACTCACACTCACACACACACACACACTCACACTCTCACACACACTCACACACACACTCTCCTCACACACACACACTCACACACACACTCACACACACTCACTCACACACACTCACACACACACACACACTCACACACACTCACACACACACTCACACACACACACACACTCACACACACACACACTCTCACACACACACACACACTCACACACACACACACACACACTCACACACACACTCACACACACACACACTCACACACACACACTCACACACACACACACACACACTCACACACACACACACACTCACACACACACACACACACACACTCTCACACACTCACACACACACTCACGCTCACAATCACACTCACATCTAGGAAGGAGGGCTGGGGCAGAGATGCAGCGATGACCGGGGCGGGGCAGGCCAGTGCGGGAAGCCCGGAGTCCCCGTGAGCCGGTGCCACGCTCGCCTGCTCCCGGAGCCCTGGCCCTCCCTGGTCCCTGCTCACTGTCACCCACTCCGGCCCCGAGACCCGGGGAGGAAGGTCAGCCGTTTACACTGGGACGCCCAGCGCCCCGGCAGTGAGTCCCGGTCGGGTCGCTCCCAGGAAGCTCGGGACTGCGCCAAGTGCTTTCCTCATGCCTCCATCCCAGCCTCCCCCTCTGTGATTCACGGTCCAGGATCGCTGCCGAGCAGATAAGGGAACCCACGACGCTCAGAGACGTAACTCGCTCGAGGCCTATCTCCGTCTGCCAGGCTGTCCGACAGTCCCCGTGCCCTTCCTCTGGGGCCCGAGGGGGGCCCGGCCGGTCCAGTGGGGGACAGAGCCACGCCACTGGGAGGAGAGAGGCTCCAGGCGGCAGGCCTTCCTCCGAGCCCTCCGGTCCTTCCTGGGGGCGCGAGCCCTGTCAGTGCAGCGCCCACCCTCACCCTGTTTGACCTGGATTTCTTCCCGAAGGCCCGTCTCCCTGCAGAGGAGGGTTAGGGCTTCACCGTGGGAACTGGGGGGCCGGGCCGGGCACAGCCCAGCGCTTTCGCGGGGGATTGGGTCAGCCAGCTCCCCCTCTGTCCTCTCCTGGCCACGAGGCTCGCTGGGCCAGAGAGCGGAGCGGGCAGAGACCGCGGGCCGGGAGCTCCTCTCCGCCGCTGACACCGCCCTCCCCGTGTCTCTCCTGTCAGCGTGCTGCCTTCCCTCCTGGGTGCAGCCTGGCTAGGAAGACCCTCCTCTGACAAACGTGCCGACTCCTGGCGGAGGGCCGGGGTAAGGCGGTGCAGGCTGGGGAAGCGCTTGGAAGCCCATCCTGGTCCTGGCCCCTACCAAGGTCAAGGTGCCATCACTGACCGGGGCGTGTGTGGGAGGCACCCAACTGATGATATATTCTCTCTCTCTCTCTTTCTCTCTCTCCCTCATTTGTAATTTTTTTTTAAAGACCATCGGGAGCCCAGAACAAAACTCAAGCTACTGTAGGAAAAGCAAAAGCCGCACAGGCTGAGCCCTGAGGGCCGGCGCCTTGTAGCCACGGCAGCTTTGTCCCAGGCCGGGGCTGGCCCTCCCTGTGCTGCTGGTTGAGCACAGTCACCTGGGCCCACTTCCCAGTGGGCAAGGTCACCAATGCCTGTTGTGCGTGCGTGGAAGGGTGAGGAGTTAATGCACGTGGGCAAGCCACCCTCCGAGCCAGCCAGCGCTGTGCCCGACGGTTCCTCGTTGTAAAGACTCTGCAGGGAACACAGCTCAGGCCTCCGGCACCGGGCCCACCTAGAATGTCTCCTCACAAGTCAGAGTCTCCGTGTGCCGCTCAGACTGTGTTCTCACCCCCGCGCTCTCATGCCTTGCTGTTCCCACTTGCTTCCTAAGCGTAGACTTACCGGGGGGAGGGGAAACTGACACGGAGTGTCCAGAGCTCTGTGGAGGTCCCGGGGGCCAGAGTCGGCCTCCCGCTGGCTCCCTCCCAGGTGGAATCGCACACAAACACGCTCAGGTGCAGCTCAGCCTGGAACATGGGGAGACGGAAGCGCTCGCTCCCATGCGTCACCCTCGTCCCTGGGATGGCATCTGGGACGGCGCGGCTCGCAGGCCCGGGCTCTCGGGCTCACCGTGTCCCCGGTTGCTCTTGCAGGTGTGACAGCTGCGGCGCCGTGTTCCACGCCGAGTGCAGAGAGAGGTCCGTGCCCTGCCCGCGCTGCGTGCGCCGGGAGCTGCAGAAGAAGCAGAAGTCCTTCTGGCGGCGGCTGAACGTGGACGAGAGCCTGGAGGAGGCCTGCAGCATGTTCGAGCTGAGCTTCCCCAACACCTGACCGCGGCCAGGCCAGGCGACCCCCCAGTGACCCGCGGCCCCTTTCCGAGGGGTGCGTCTCGTCTCCGGCTGGACACGGAAACACACGTACACACCTACCTGCACACACACACCGTACGGACGTCCTGAGAGGTCCATGGAGCCCTGCGGCTCTAAAAGCTCCCGACGGGCACGTGCACTCGGCCGTGAACTTCCGCTGCTCGCTCCCAGGCAACGCGCGGTTCACACGCAGTGCTTTCCACCGGGGACTGTTTTCTGGTTTGTTTTGTTTTGTTTTTTGTTTTGTTTTGTTTTGTTTTGCTCGTTCTTTCGGCTGTCGGGGCCACGCTATTACCCAGGGCCCAGGAGGAAGTATTGTTACACAGAACAGCAGGCGTGGGCTCCTTCTATGTTATTTATTTTTAGCCTTCCCAGCCGATGAGGCTGGCACCCAGCACCCGGTCCCCAGGACAGTCTCCTACACCCAGAGGCGACTGGATCCTTCCAGGACCCGCCTCCTAGCCTCCGAGTCCCCTAGAGGCCGGGGTCCCCTCTGAGCCAAAATCAGGAGAACAGGCTCCCCCGAGAGAAAGCATGCCACCCTGAGTGATTGGAGGGCTCATCCTGGTTTGGAAGCCCAAGTCAGAAAAGTCTGTTCCTTGACAAGGAAGAGGCCCCGGCGGCCAAGTCCAGCCGCAGTTGCTCTGTTCGCTGGTTCGAACCCGCCTGGCCTGGTGAGGCCCCCACCACAGGCCCGGGCTGCCCGCGGCTCCCGAGCGCGGCTCCCGGGCTCGGGGACGGGATGGACGTGTTGGCGGAGCTGCCGGGGAGGTGCCCGAGGCCGTCCAGCAGCCCGGCTAGTCTCTTTCCACAGAACCCGTGTGGGCAGCCCTCCCTGCTCCCTGTAGATGCTTTGTTTCCCATCGCTCTGCACTGCACTTCATTGTAACCTTTGTCAAGTGAACCACTTCTACTTTCACCTTTTCTTAATCTTAAAAAACACTCACAGGAACCCGGAACTTCAAAATACCCACTGAGACTATTAAGAAAATACCGAGCTTATACATACAATGAGCGAATTCAGTCTAATGTCATTGAAATACACAGACGTATACGTGTATCATTGCCATCCTAAAGTAAAATGAAGAGTGTAAAACGAAACGACAGGAAGGTGTAACATGGCCACCCGGCCGGGGACAGTCCTCCCGGCGCCGTGCCCGCGCGGTGAGCGCCGTGCCCACGGGGGAGATCTGTGCCCACGGGGGGGATCTGTGCCCACGGGGGGGATCTGTGCCCATGGGGGGAGATCTGTGCCCACGGGGGGGGAGATCTGTGCCCACGGGGGGGATCTGTGCCCACGGGGGGGGGAGATCTGTGCCCACGGGGGAGATCTGTGCCCACGGGGGAGATCTGTGCCCACGGGGGGGGATCTGTGCCCACGGGGGGGATCTGTGCCCACGGGGGAGATCTGTGCCCACGGGGGGGATCTGTGCCCACGGGGGGGATCTGTGCCCACGGGGGAGATCTGTGCCCACGGGGGGGATCTGTGCCCACGGGGGGGGAGATCTGTGCCCACGGGGGGGATCTGTGCCCACGGGGGGGATCTGTGCCCACGGGGGAGATCTGTGCCCACGGGGGGGATCTGTGCCCACGGGGGGGATCTGTGCCCACGGGGGAGATCTGTGCCCACGGGGGGGATCTGTGCCCACGGGGGGGATCTGTGCCCACGGGGGAGATCTGTGCCCACGGGGGGGATCTGTGCCCACGGGGGGGATCTGTGCCCACGGGGGAGATCTGTGCCCACGGGGGAGATCTGTGCCCACGGGGGGAGATCTGTGCCCACGGGGGGGATCTGTGCCCACGCGGGGGACACCGTGCCCGAAACAGTGGGCCCGAGGGCCCTGGAAGCCATGGCTCTCCTCCTCCCGCCTCACCTCTTCCCGGGACAGAAAAACACGCTTCTTTCCAAACGACGGTACATGTAACCCCACCGCCTCGCTCCCCCAGGCCCGGCTCAGGACCTCTGCCCGCTGAAGGACGCGCTGTGTCCCACCGCCTTCCGTGCGGACTGTTCGGTGTCAGCATTCCGCATCCCGCCCCCGGCCAGTCCCCTGGGCCCGGACCGCCCACCTCCCTGACAGCTCCGCGCCGGGCACGCGTTTGCTCTCCGATCCCACGGCAGCTGCGTCCACGGCACTAGACTCGCGCGAGGCGGGGCCCTTCCCGGGACGCCTGGCGCTGCCTTTTCCTCCTGAGAAGCAGGCTGGCTCCGCTGCAGTCCCAGAGAGAGGAGGGTGGGATCTCAGCGAGCGCCTGGCACACAGGCAGGCAGACCCGCTCGCCGCCTCCTGCCGCCCCCCCCACCCCCACCCCGGTGAGACCGAGTGTTTCTCAGCTCAGAGAAGACAGCCGCCAGGATCTTTCCCGGGAGAGTTATGGACCTGCTCATGCCAGAGCAGATGTGCTCCGTGGCAAAGTGCCTTCGCCCTCGCCCTCGCCGTCCTGTCCCCGCAGCTCCTCCGGCCTCCGCCTCCGCCGTCAGGAATGCTCCTGCGGCTCCAGCACCCGCACTCTGCGCTGGGGACCCGGGGAGGCCTCTCCTCCCTCCCGCACAGCACTCCCTGCCCCACCGCCCGCACCGGGCCAGGCCTGCACCAGGCGTGTCGGGGTAAAACCCTGGGTCCCGTTCTAAAGGCCTCTGGCCGCAGGGCCAGCTCCGAGGGCCCAGCTCAGCGTCCGCAGCCCGGGGAACTGGGGCCTTCTGCTCACTCCGCTTTCTGCTTATTTTCAAAAGGAAAAAAAAATAGACGTGCGATCGCCACCCAGAACTGTCACCGCCTCCCAGGCTCTGTTTTCTCTCCTTCTGTGCGGCTCTGACAGACAGCCTGGCCCGTGCCCGCGGGCCTGCACCATGCTCCCACCACCACCATCACCACCACCACCACCACGCCTGCCGGGCCAGGCCCAACCGGTGGGGGCGCTGGGTCGGCCCCGAAAATCCAAAACTGCTGTTTTCGGCCCAGAACGCCTTCGCCCTCATGAACGGCCCTCCGGCTCCGGCATTGTTCCCCTGCTTAGAAGCTGTCTCGGCAAACGCAGGCCTGTGATCGCCACCTCTGGCACACCAAGCCCAGGGGAGACGGCAGGGAGCCTCCCGGAGCGGGCGGCCCTCGGAGCCTCTGTTCACGGAAAGGCCCTCCCTGCCCCCGCTGAGGAGCTGCCCCCTCCCGGCCAGAAGCCAGGTGAGCCCGTCCAGCCCCGGGAAGGCTGGCGCTACCCTGCGGCACAGGAGCCAGCTCCCAGAACAGCTGCACTTACAGCGCAGTCCATGGGCCTGCGACGTGTGCGCTCCACAGCTCACAGCCTCTTTACATGAAAACCACGTCTGCACGCGACTCCCCGCGCCCGTGTCACAGGCCTCTCCTGTCTGCGGCCGTCTTCCCGGGAGCTGTGCTGGCCATTAGCTGGGACAGGGGCACCCTTTGATTGTCCCGGACCAGGCCTCCCCTCCAGAAAGGCCGGAGCTGGCACCTGGGGGGTGGCTCCCTCCGGCTCGGGGTGCCCCTCAGCCCCCCGCCAAGGGGCTGCGTGCGCCCGGGCCCTGGCAGCGCTGGCTGTGCAAGCGGCCTCCGCTGAGCTGGAGGAGGCCCGGACGGCCTCTGCGCCTGTCTCTGTGCCGGTCTCTGGGCCGGTCTCTGCGCCGGTCTCTGCGCCGGTCTCTGCGCACGCACGGAGCATCCTCACCGGGGTGTCTGCCCGGCCGCCTTCCAGAGGCTGGGCTTCCACACCCCTGGGTCTGCGCCCTGGCCGGAAAGGCCCTGGGAGCCACTCACTGTCGGGGTGGGACCCTCGATGCCACGCCGGCCGCTCTGCCAAGGGCGCCCCCAGGAAGCCAGGTCCGTCCTGCCCGGGTTCAGCCAAAGCTGCTGCTGCTGCTCGCATCGGGCCGAGTGACATGGCCCCGAGCCGCCCGCTTCACGCGAGGAGCGGATGGGAAGTCACGTCCCCTCCTGCTCTCCTGCCGCCCGGGTCCGCACAAAGGCTCCTTTCTCCGTCCCTCCTCCTCCCGCGGAGAGGCACGCACGTGCGCCCCCCTCTCCCCAGAATCTCCTGTCTCACCACACTTCTCCCTCGAAGACAGCGGTCGGCAAACTCATCAGCCCACGGAGCCAAGTACCAACAGGACAACGATTGAAATTTCTTCGGAGAGCCACGTTTTTTAAACTTACACTTCTCCTAACGCCGCTTCTTCCAAATAGACTCGCCCAGGCCGTGGTGGTTTGTGGAAGAGCCACACGCAACGGGCCAAAGAGCCGCATTTGCCGACCGCGGCTCTAAGATAGTGTGAGGAAGCAGAGCTGCGGGGGCGAGGCTGACAGCGCGGACACCGCCCTCCGTGGCGAGGACCACGCCGGGCGCTGGGAGCCGCCCTGGTGCGCCTCGGCCTGGGCCCCTCCCCCCACCCAGCGGGACCGACTGCTCAGAGTCAAACCTGGTGATGGCTGGACAAGCCCAACGCGGTTCATCGAGACAGACAGTTCGGGATTGCTCTCGTGCGGGGCGGTACATGGACAGTTAGTCCAGCGCCCAGCAGCCTCCTTACCGGCAATTCCAAGTTCACTGTATTCAGCTATCTCTAACTTGAGGGGTTTCATGTGTGTTAGTGAGATTTTGCCTTAGCAGGTAAAATCCAAGTCACTGTTAAACTCTAGGTAAACGCCAGAAGAGGTGCGGGCAGTACCCCGCCCCGCAGCACCCCTGTCGCTGTGTCAGGGGGTTTGTTTAAAATAAAACGACGAAGCGGCCTGGGTGTGGGAGGAGCATCGCTCCACTCTGCTGAGCTCAGCCCAGGAAACAGCTGCCATTCCGCTTTGGCTCCTCCCTTCGGAAAGAGAGTTGTCTCACCCTGGCCGGTGTGGCTCCGTGGGTAGAGCACTGGCCTGCAGACTGAAGGGTCCCAGGTTCGATTCCAGGCAAGGGCACATGCCCGGGTTGCAGGCTCGATCCCCAGTAGGGGACGTGCAGAAGGCAGCTGATCAGTGATCCTCTCTCTCCATTGATATTTCTCTCTCTCCCTCTCCCTTCCTATCTGAAATTAATTAAAATATATTAGAAAAGAAGGAAGGAAGGAAGGCAGGAAGGAAGGCAGGAAGGAAGGAAGGAAGGAATGAAGGAAGGAAGGAAGGAAGGAAGAAGGAAGGCCAGTAGTTGCAGGTAGAAGGTCAGGTGCCCTCGACAGCTCAGCCCAGACCAGCATCCTTCCTGCTGGCTCTAGAGCTGCAGACAGCCACCCTCCCTGCCCTGCCCCCCCTGCCCCCATCCTGAGCCCCAGCCTAGACTCGGCCTCATGGCTAGCACCCCAGCTAGTGCACAGCTGGCTGTGGCTCCTCCACACCGGCCACCCACCCCCTTCCTCCCCCGTAGGAGTGCCTTATAGGACTGCCCAGTGCTTCTAGCCATCTGTCCCCGGGGAGCCTCAGGGCCCTCTGCCTGAACATGGGTCCCCCTGCTGCCCTGCTGGCTGCTCGTCACACAAATCCCTAGGAGCCTGCACACGCCATCGAACGCCTGACCTTTCACCTTCGCTAACCTGGTGCCTTATGCTCTCGAGTGGAAAGGATCCCTGTCAGAAACACACGGCGTCGGCAGAATGGCAGAAACGTTAGCTTCTCAGCTCTCCTCGACCAGGAAACACGGAGACACAAACCACATGATGTTTTCACGTTATCGGATGCTGCTGCTTAAGTCGCTGTTTGCTTGCTTGCTCTCATTAACCAAACTCAGGGGAACGCCACCATGTCACCAAGGCCAACGGGGAGAAGAATCAAACCAGGTATCCAGCTCTGAATCTGGGAAGTCCGTGAACGTGGCCTTTTCCAGGTTAAGAAGTTCTATAAACATGAGGATTTTTTTTTTCTTTTCTTTCTGTAGAGGCAGGTTATGTTGCCGCTCGTTTTCCAGTGAGAAGTGGGAAGCCTCTCGGGGAAACGGGGATAAAAATGTGTCTGCGGGGCCCAGGCAGGCCACGGCGCTATTGTTCCACTGGGCCTTCACTGCTGGAGCCTCGGCTCTGCTTTCGGCCATCTATCAGCACCCTACGGCGGACAGCCGTGGCCTGCCGCAGAGAAGGTACGAGGCTGCA